ACACACACACACACACAAGCCTCGACCTCCCTACAGGCTATTTGTCACACCTTTTTTAAAGAGTGTCCTCACACTGACCAGACACACGCACTGACGTTAATTGTCTCCGGGACCAACAAATGTTTGTTGTTAGGGTCATCCTGACTGTTTAAGGTTTAGGTGGTAACATCATCAGTCTGCTACGTTTGTCTGCTGTACTGTGGGAGCGTTTGAACGTCTGGAAACAGCCTAAATAAAAATACAGGAAGTTCATTTAGATACTTGAGGAGCAACCAAACACACTTAGTTTATTTACCAAAGTCAGTTTCAGGTGATCAGAAGGAAAAGCATTGAATTTGCTGAACTTTGTGCACACTGTACTGTCCCGACAGGCCCGTTCAGACGTGTGATTACAATTCCCAAAATCAATCATCCAGAGTTTTATTTTGTTGTTGTTTAGCTTTTAATCAATAGTTGGACATTTTGTTTATTCCTGCTTATGTTCTTGCCAAAAAGGAAGTACCTCTAAAGATAAGTAATTAATGCTTTATAGGTAATTTGTTTAATTAATACAAAAAGCAAGGAGTAAAAACGACAAGTTGTGAATTTTAAGTGAGTTTCTGGACTATTTTTCTGCTGCCTTCACTTGGCAGGGACGACAAAACTCCAGGAAGTCACTGCACTCGGCCAAAAAAAATTGTTTCGCATATAAACTCTTATAAGAGCCCAACTTCCATTGTGCGTACACTTTTTGCATTGATTAAACAAATGAGATAAAACTTGTTAATTGGTGAGCTTTAAAGATGCTGGTAGCTAGATTCAGTTATCGATGGACAGAGCTGGACTATCTGTTTCTCACTGTTTCCACTCTTTATGCTAAGCTAAGCTAACCGACCCCTGGCTCTAACTTCATTTTCAGCATACACACATCATAGTGACATCAATCTTCTTATATAACTCTCAGCAACAAGCATAGAAAGCGGATATTTCCCAAAATGTAAAAGTATTCCTTTAAATTCGTAAAATGTAATGGTAAGTTCTGCAACCATTAAAGATGTTTGTGTTTTATTGTGGAAGCCAAGGTGACATTTTATGAATACAGCGTAGGTCTATAGACTCATAGTCAACCCTTAGTTAGCAAGCATGTAACTTAATTATAACATAACATGGCTTCATTATACTTGCATACTCTATAGCAGCTGCAAACACACATCAGTTGTTGTATGGAATTAATTTTCAGTCTCATTCAGTTTAGTCTCACCATAATTTACTTTAGTTTGGTCTTGTTTAGCATGTGTTTTTTTATTGGGATGGTTTACTCTGCCTCTATATAGTTTAGTCTACTGCCTTAGATAACCCTTAGCTGAAGATACTTTTAACTGACTCTGCATCTTGTCTGTGTTTTGAATAAGTGACTCAACACTCTGTCACAAATGTTCCGAAACATGTTATAATTATCCATCTCTGGATCCCACTTTGGTTAGCCTGGAAACATCCCGAGGAAGAGAGAGACAGAGATAGAGTGAGGTCGGGATCAATCTACTACACTTGTTTGTTGGTTGCCGGCTTTTCAGCTCGTCGCCGCAGCACAGCTGCAAACAGGCAGCGAGGGGAGAGAGACAGAGAGCAGCTGCAGTCCAGTTGCCAGCCTCACCAGAGTGCTACAAACGGAACTGCCTACAGCGTGGGAACTGGCACACACACCACATACACACACACACAAACACACACAGCCCAGGCTTGTGGCCAGGAACAGTGCAGTCAGTATTTCACTGTTGTCATATGAAAATCCCTGCTTGCACTCTTTTGGTGACTTTCCTGTTATAACTTCAGCTGTACTCGAAAAGGATTCCCTGCTCTCCTAAAGCCTGAGGAAATTGTACAACTTCAGGGCTTCTGAAGGCTTTTTCAAAACCTTTTTGATCAACTCAAGAGCACATGTTGGGTGAAAACCATAGCTGCTTTTCTTAGATCCTGAAAGGTTTGTGAACATGAACATCTTTCAACTACACACAAGAGCTCTATGACTGTACTAGTAATTAGTAAAGCCGCCAAGATCCCAAGCTTCTCTAGTTCTAGTCGCTGTGGTATTTAAGTGGCTATAAATGAGCTTATGGTATAGATAGGCCCAATGGTCACTAATAAACTAATTCTGTCCCATGGCATGAGGATAGAATAACATATTATGAAAGCTGAAGTTCAGTAAGATTCCTTTGAACCAGGATGCACATAATTCATGGGATGCCGCCTGTGTCACTGCAAGGGGGGCCTCAGAAACAACAAATAACACTAACAGAAACAATAGTTCCTATTGTGCTGCAGAGAAAGAAGAAAGACAAGAGAAGAGGAGAGGGCAGAGGAAGATAGGCAAAGAGAGCAATATGAAAGCCGAGGCCTAAATCCAACAGAGGAGTCCATTTATTCATTCAGTCAGCCCCATCTGACCTCCGCACAGCAGACATGTAATATGCTGTTCAACCTACAACACTTTCCTTTTTTGCACATGTAGCTTTGAAGAGAGCTCGAGGGGGGAAATGGTCCGCTGTGGTCGAATGTAAAATCACATTCCACTTCAAACTGCTGCTTGAATACAGTAACGCTCTCAGGAAGGGGACTGGAGGACAGAGATGTGCAATATTGTGTAAACTGAAAGGCTTTCCTTAAACTGTCCGGGCTAAAACATCAACATGCTCACATAAAGCTTATTATGTTCATCATCGTCGTTTAACGTGTTAGCATGTGAATATTTGCTAATTAGTACTAAATACAAAGTACAGCTGAGGCTGAATCAAAAAATGTTGAGGTATTTCAGTTTATATATTTCTGCCAACAGGCCAACCAACATCGCCATCCCTCGAGCCACGCTGCTAGCATGGATAAAAATGGCTCTACTTTTAGCACTTTAAGAAAACAGTAATTATGACATAATTACTATGTCTTTGACTAATATGTAATCTGAACAATTCAAGCTAGTAGCCAGTTTCTTGCAGGTCCCGTGCAGCTCAAGTCCTGCCCCCAAACCTTGCAGTGCCTTTTGGGTAGCTGTTTCCCCCCAGTTCCAGTCTTTATGCTAAGATACTCTTCTACTGACTCTAGCTTCATATTTGGCGTACAGACACGAGAGCTGTATCTTCTTTTCTCTTCTAAGTCTCAGCAACAAAGCAAATTAGCCTGAACTATTCCTTTAATATAAGCCGGCAACCTTCCACCCTGTGTTAATATCAACATATTGGACGTTCAGACTGACTCAACTTTGATGCATTCAGCAGTTAAGAAGTTGACATTAATGGAAGATAAAGTGTGTAACAGCATCCACCAACATGACAGGTGTCATTGTGTGAAAAAGGATTAGCAACATGCTGCTCAAAGTAAAGCCCGGTCAACATGTCTTAAAGCATCAACCTACAGAAGGCCAGATTCTCTGTTTAAATGGCTCTGGTCACTAGCAAAGAGGGCTACATGGCAGTAGATACAACACAGTGTGTGTTTTAGGTTTCAAGTGACGCAATTACTTTCCAATTATGATAATCGCCTCTTTAAGACTAATTTCATAGAAAACACCCCCACCCCCCCGACACTTTTTTAGGGATGTGGACTTTCTCACCTCTATTTTCTTGTTTTTTCTTCTCCTGCTCTTCTCATCCCCACATCCGACCCCCCAAACACCACACAGCCTACCCCCTCCCCCAAAACACTAACCCCACCCCGCCACCCGCAATACACATCCCGACAAACACACACCTCAGGTTAATCAGTTCACACACACATACCACTCTACCCCCAACGCACCCCACCCAGCACCTCTGGCTAATCACTTCAAAGGAAGATGCTATCAGTCTGAAGAGAGACCCACTGAAGTAAATCCAAGCCGGGACCCCCGACTGCTCCAATCTGACAAGCCAGACAGACCCTCTAAATAAGAAAACAAACCACCTCTTAGCACATGTAAAAACATTTTGCACTTTAAGAGGTGGACACCAGCCTGTAATCACAATTTGGTCAACAGTGGATGAAGACTCGGAGACTTCATTCGAATATTTGAGGCTCAGATGTAGAAGATGTAATCACTGATTTGTCCATTTGGCAGCTGCGCAATCAGAATGATCCCACGTAATGTCGCAAGAGGCTTAATGCTGCGCATCCCCACGAGACTTTTTGAATGTTTAGCTTTTGATTAATCAGGAAGAAAGAATGAGGAATAAAAGAAACCAGACCATGAGAGTAAAGCTAGAGGACAAACAGATGAGTGGGAGGGAGAGAAACAGAGAGATCTCCCGGGGTTTTTTCTTAAATCTGCCACTCCCTTCATCCCTCCATCCCACATGCTACAAACCAGGGACAACAAAGCACTGTTTGATCGATAACTTCAGTAGGTCAGGCTTTACTTGGAATCTTTCCCAGAGGGGAACTTGCACATGAAGCCTCTAGAGCTCCTCTAGGTGACACTTTATTTTAAAGAGCCACAATTTCTTAATAACTTAGTAAACACGTCCAATTCCACTGACTTTAATTTACTTTACTTGATATTTAGAGTACTACTCCGACTGTGGAAACAGTTGTAAAGTTTCGTCTGTGGCTGTGGGCGAAGCTTTCTCAAGTTTACACAAAACAACCCAGATGATGTCACAGCGATGTCATCAGGGTTGCATCATCAGCCTTAGACTTTTAAGTTTCAACAAGTAGCCGGTATTATAAACTGGAGATGTGCAGTTTGGAATATGTGGGCATTTAAAAGGAAGGAAAGGTCTAATGCGAGACACTTTTGAACTGTATTATGGGAAATGTAGGATTTATTGTTTTTGGAACCATAAAAGAGGCTAAAGTTGAGGATATCTCTGCAGCCTCAGTTTTGATCACTCTTTTTAAAATGTGTCTGCCGTGGTATGTGTCCTCTCTTTATGGAAGTTAAGTACTAGATCGCTGAAGTAACCCTTTAATTATCCAATTAAACGCCAGCATAACTCAAACATTCTTTTGGTCGGGTCACAAAGGGTCAGATGAACATGCAAAAATGTAACATTTGTCTACAAGGAAGCACACAACTCAACAAATACGGAGAGAGAAGTTTCTAGTTTGCAATAAGTGAATAATTAATGGATATTTACTCGGGTTTAAATGGAGCTTGAACATTCCTATTTTTCCATAATTGTTGCCCAATGACATGCTTCTTTCCAGGACAATTCCAAAGAAATTCCTAGAAAATTACGGCCGTGTGAAATAAAGTGTTATCCCACTCTAGAGGGCGTGAGGCGTGACTCCCCAGGGTCGTGGGAGAATTGATGGGGTGGCGAGGAAGGAAAGATTTGAGGCACGATACAACAAACAACGGGAAGTTTGTTTTTTATTTTATTAAAAGGAAAGTTAGTTAGTTTGGCCCACTGATTTGGTCCACTCACCGATATGGTCACAGGCAACAGTTGAAGCTGTAGCAGTGGGGGCGATTCAGGTAGTTTAACCCAATTGTCATAGTACATTTATTTTTCAGATTCAGTGTGACTTAAACTTCCTGCAGGCATTATTATCTCAGATATCCATCCTGAATAAACACATCAATCCGTCTGAGAATCAGCATGTTTTTAAGTTTTCTTCACTATCAAAGTAATCCATTGATAGTTTGTCTGTATATCAATGAGTTCACTACAAACAGGAACTGATAATCGCTAATTCTGCATACTTTGAATGGTGCCAATTTGGTAAAATGTAAGCAAACAGACTAAAAAATAACAAGACTCCAGTTGTAGCCCACAACTACATAACAGACTCTATGGAAACATTATACTTCCTGTTTACATCCCGCAAAGCCCCAAAACTTTAGTTTCAAAACTTAGAGCGTGATTATCCCCCAAAATCGAAGTAAGACCAGGAACACTGATAATAGGCAGGGTAAGAAATTTTGAATAATCACTGAGGTGAAAGTTGATGATAAACAAGTTATTAACTGGGACAAACTGGGAGGGAAGTAATGTCCAACAGGGCATGAACATGTTTGTGTCTACCTGTGTGTGAACTGGAGGAGGGGATAACGAGTCAGGAGGGAGGGCGGCACTTTGATGACCCTTAAAGATGACCTCTGACCCCTTGAAAGAGGAAGATTAGGAGGGGAATGGGGATTACAAATAGACCCCCACCCCAGGCTGATTATAAGTGATGCGCATCCTCCGGTAATTCGGCATTGTGTTGTTCAGAAGAACCCAAAACACATGAGTGAGGGATATGCGGGCTGTTTACACGGTGATGAAATGAACTCATTCATTCATAAATCAACACTGGCGCTCTCAATCCAGCCGTCTTACCTTGTTGGAAGGTCCAATGGTTCGAGTCGGTTCCTCATATGCCGCAACGTTCTCCCATGTAGCAACCACAGCATGTGTAGGTGTGAATTTTGCATCTGGGAACCCTCGATGTACTTCCTGGGTGAGCAGATGAATGAATGAATGAATGAATGAATGAATGAATGAATGACGGGGGGAAAAGACAATTGGAGAGATGGAGAGTACAATGGACTAAACTAATGGATGAGGAACTGAAAAAAAGAAAAATCCAGATCTGTAGTTCAGTATTTATCTCAAAAGTCTGTATCAATCTATAATCATACAACTGTAACTGATGCCCTTTGTTTCAATGGATTAACAGACCTGGGCCACTCTGTTGAGCACACTGGGCGTTTCGGTCACCCGGTAGTAAATCTGTCCTTGTCCTCCGCTGGTGTCAATGTCAGCCAGAAACGGAGCCACCACGGGGAAATCTGTGGGGAAGCCATCGTCGACATATTGCTTTTCCATCGGCAGGTCCTGGGCTGAGACGATACCATTGGTGGCCACCTAGAGACAGAAAGAGCGACTAATTCACAATAATGGCACCAGTGGTTTAATGATGGCTACCAGCGGTGTTCCCAGAGACCACCTCGGACCCATGGGTACTTCAAAACCAGTCATAAAACACCTAGAAGACACATCTAGAACACAATAATGAACCTGTGGAACCTCTTAATGAACCCACATCCCCTCATAAACCACTGGAACCTCCTTGAGCACTGATGGAACCCCCTCATAGACCCCATGATCGCATAATGAACCCCAAGACTCCCCTCATAAACCACTGGAACCTCCTAAAGGACTCCTGGGGCCCGGTCCCCTGACTGAACCTTTAGAAACACATTCTGGTGACGTCCATGATGTGTATAATAAGTGTCATATATATTTAGATTTATATATTATAATGTAATATATAACAATATATCACTCACAGAGCCTATTCTCCTGCTTAATGAGTTACTTTTTATACTTTAGTTACATTTTACCAACAATACTTCTGCATACATCTATTTACTTATGTTTCTGGATGCAGGATATTTACTTGTAATGGAGTATTTTTAAATTGTACTTAAGTAAATTATAGAAATACTTCTTTCACCACTAACTAAATCATTAAATGTATGCTAATGCATCAACAATAATGATCCAACTAAGAGTAGCAGAAGTATTCAGATCTTTAACTTAAGTAAAAGTAGAAATACAACAGTGTAGAAGTAAAAGCTTTACGATTACTAGTATCTTAAAGTACTCATTATTGGATTGGCCCATTTTATATCCATTATCGTTTTACAACTATGGATGCATTCATGAGTTCACCCCTTTAAGGATGCAGCTGGTAAAGGCGGAGCTACTTTCAGTTACTTTACTGACTGCAGAGTTGCATAATGCACAAATATTACATCATCATTTATTATCTATATAATAATATTTTGTCTTAATAACTGGACTCTGCAAAGTTGCTAGTAACTAAAGTTGGTAGGTACATGTAAAAAGTGCAATATTTCACATGTTTTACTATATTTATGAATTGGAGTGTGTAAAGTGTAGAGCAGCAGAAAACGGGACTGCTCAAGAAAACTACCTCAAAACAGTACTTAAGTGTGCATTATGTTGCATGATAGCATAATGAGTACTTGTAATTTTATTTGTATAGTGTTGTAATGTTACTTTTTACCTTTAAGTAAATTATACAAATACTAACTCCACGCCTGCGTTTATGAAAGTCAATTGAACTTTTATAACAGTTGTTTCCAGCACAATTTATTATCATTATTATTAAACATAAATGTGTGGTCCCTTCACACAATTGCACTCTCTTAACTTCCCATTCAAACATGTGAATACCTCCACCAGCGCTCTCAGTGTGGAGCTCATCCTACAGCTGCACACATCACCTGCACTATGTTGAGCTTTAGAGCAGAATATAAAGCTTCCACAGCCAAACAACGCGCATGCACATGAGTGTTAATGAAGCTGTACTTACATAAAGCTGGGAGAACTGGGAGTCGTAGAAGTATAAGGGCTTGGGCAGGGACAGCACTTTGGAGGTTTCATCGTCGCCCTCTGCCAGAACCAAATCTCCACTCAAAGTGCCATAAGGAAACATCTCAGCCCTCTGGATGGCTGTAACCACACACACACCGCAGCTCCAGCAGAGCACACACACGGCCAGCATTGCCCCTCTCTCCATGGTAGAGCTGAGGGTGAGTGAGCAGCTCTGCGCTATGAGAGGGAGCAGCGGGAGAGAGGTACAGATGGACTGAGAGGGAGCAGAAGAAAGAAGGGGAACTCTCCTCCTCACCACCGAGCCTCTGATACTCTGCAGGGAGGGAGGGAGGGAGGGAGGGAGGCAGGGAGGAGTTTGGGCCCGCTCTCATTGGTCGGAGGCGGGTTGAGTGACGGCAGGCCGGTGCTGGAGGTAACATCTGGCTCGTATTAGAGGAAAGGCAAATAGAGCGTTTTTAATCCGGATGTAACTCTATCTGTTTCACAACAATGAAAAAAAGAAAAGAAAAAAGACATTGTGTCATTTTTACACACACACACGAGAGAAAACCGATTTAAATTGTTAAATGGTTTAAATTTCATTGAAAGACATTAACAAGGTTGAAGTGTCAGTGGAAACGCATAGGGACTATATATATATATATTTATTCTTAAAACAAACTATATAATGTTCCCTAAGTCTAAAGATTAATATCTGCAGTAAATTGTTTAAATATAAGGAGACAAAACTTTAGCATTAAATAGTATTTCTCGGTATTTTTTCTTTCGAATCCACTTCAATCATACAATTTACAATATATGTTTATTTTTATTTAAATGTAATGTATTTTTTACTAAGTTATTCACTAATTGAAGGCCAGGGATGCAACCTTAAAATACTTAACCTTGTGCACCATCTAGTGGCTGTACTAGCACATTGCAGCATACAGCATGTACAGTGTACTCCCTGATATTGGATATGAAACTATTAGTCAATCAATTAAAAAAATGATTTGCATCTAAATAATTTCAGAGATTTATCGAGGTCTACTTTCAGCTTCTTTAACATGATGATATGCTGCTTTCCTCTACTTAGTATGATTGTAAATAATATATCTTTGGTGTTTGGACTGTTGGACAGACAAACCAGAACATTTTATAGAATAAGTCAAGACATTTTATTTATACTGCCCAAAAATAACATAAATTTTCCCCAAAGGGCTGTAAAATCTCCCCAAAAACCTGCTAACAGGGAAAAAAGAAACCTCAGGAAGAGCAACAGAGGAGGGATCCCTCTTCCAGCATGGACAGACATGCACTAGATACTGTGTGCACAGAATAAATAGGAAAATATGGATGTGAAAAATCAGGATGACAATATTCGGTAGGTGGACTGTCAGCATAAAGGAAGAATATAATGCGGGAGGATGTCGAGACCGGACCGGAACTCCACTGTGGAGACCTGGACAGAGGACAGACTGCACAAACACACAAGAGGCGATACTGAAGCACACAACTCAGACAGATTGAGATAAGAGGGAAGGCTCAGTCTCTGGAGGACGAGGAGCCAGATCCAAACATCTGGAATGAGGTACTGACTGCCAGGGGGGGAGAGAGAGAGGTCCCGTGATCTGTACTGTACTGGTACTGTACTGAGAGGACGTGTTTAATCTGTAATGAGAACAATTGTTAGTTGCAGCCCTGTTTGAACTGTGTACAACTTTAAAGGTCAATGCAGTGAGTCAATTATCCCACACACGCAGACAGGATGACCCAGAGGAATGGGTTTGAACCACGTCAGTCAAATGGTGTCAGTCCAGCTGAGCATGTGTTTCACTTGAAGACCAGACTGAGGGCATAAAGCCCAGATGTCTCTAGTACAGGCCTTGCTGAGCATTAAATCATATATAAAGTGTCTGGGAAGTATTTACACCTTCACATTTTTCACACTTTATGGTGTTAATCTAAAAACGTCATTTTGGTAATTCATTAAACAGAAACAAAGACACATTTCACATCTGTGGATCCTTCTATGTGTGTTCTTCATTCCTCCTGGCAGATCCTCTCAGGCTCATCAGATTGGATCAGTGAGCTGTGGAGCTGCCATCTTTCAGTCCTTAGATGTTTGCCGGAGTTCAGGTTTTGGCAGGACCATTCAAGGCTACCACTCCAGGTGATGAGCAGTACCTGGATTACACCAGAGTTGGAATATTTGTCTCATCACACCAGAGGATCGTCCTTTGGGTTCCCTGTGGTAAACTCAAGGCGTGTCGTCATTTGCCTTTCACTCTGGTGAGACTTCTCTCTACAAAAGGCTACGATTTATGGAGAAATCTCTGAGTTCCCTGTAGCAGGTTCTCCTTCCTGTTTCTGTGCAGAGGCTCTGTTACAGTGGCTGCTGGGTTCCTGCTCTTCCTGCCCGGTTACTGGGTCTCTGTGGTTCACAATGAGGGAGCCCACTGAGCTCTTGGGAACATTTAAGGCAATACGAAAGAGTTTAAACCCTGTGCTTTAATACAAGTTGATTGCAGACCTTATAGAAAACAGGGGTGTGCCTCTTCTTAATCACGTCCAATCCACTGAATTTGGTACAGGTGGAGATCAGTGGAGTTGTAGAGATAGCTGAAGGAAACAGGATACAGTTTCCATTTAATGTATAAATAAGAGATTTCAGTCTTGAAAAATCCAAATAATGTGTTTTTACTTTGTCTTTAAGAGCTACTGTCAGTAAAATAAAAACAAGTCAATTTTGAATTAAATCTATAACACAATAATAAATGAATGCTATGTGTAATACTTTGGACTATATATCAGAAAGAGTTTGATTAAAAAAGATGTTTAGATTTTATTGTTTTTTCTAAAGCAAGGCACTGTAACAGAAAAATGCCTTCAAGTTGATCGATCAATCCTGTTATATCAGTTAAAGTTGTAGTTACCTAGAGCAGCCTGTAGGTGGAGGCAGAGGCAAGGCTGAGATAATAAACCACACAGAGCATGGCAACAAAGTAGATTTTATTTAATTGATTTAGTGTGTGAGAACTATAATGTATGTTTTACTTTGTATGTGTGAAAATATATGTGATAGTCTGCAGTCTGCTGTGTATGAAATGATTTAAATCTGTATTACATTCAGGCAGAATACCCAAAGACCCCTAATGTAACCTGATTACATGTTTACATTTGGACTTCTCTTCTCTGGGGATGTTTTCCAGTCTTGCAGTGTGTAATTACAGGCTGCTGACTGACTGACTGCTTACATTTGTGACATCAGATATTCACCAGAATCAATGAACTCATCAATGATTCAGACAGGGACCATTAGCAGGCCGGAGCACAAACACAAACACACACCACACAACAACACACGACACACACAACAGCACACATTGAGTGTCATTACGTGTTGACATACAGGTGTGAGCGAAGAAATGAAGCTCCGCGGAGTGGGGAACGAGTGCATTTGTGGGATTAAGAATCATTGAATCAATAGCTGAATTGCTTCTAAAAAAAGAGCACGACACACAGTGAGGATCACTGCTTGAGATGTGTGGTGGTTCAAAAAACTCTCAGCAGAGACTTCATCCCATTGATTTTGCCATTAGATTGGTTGTTTAAACTATTAAGGTAAAGGTCGAACTCTCTATTGATAACGGATATATGTTGTAATAATGCTCTAATCTACGATAAAGTCACCCATTGGAAATCATGGAAACAATTGCTCCTCCAAACACACTGGCTGTCTGACATTGTGCTAGTGGGAAGGGAAAGGAAACAAGAGGAAAGGGAAGACAGGAAATTAAGGGAAAGAAAGGTGAAGCAAGGGAGAGGAAAGGAAAGGAAAGGAAAGGAAAGGAGAGGAAAGGGAGAGGAGAGGAGAGGAGGGTAAAGGAAAGACAATGGAAAGAAAGGATGGAAAAAAGAACTGGAAGAAAGGGGAAAGGAAGGAAATTAGGTTAAAGAACGTGGAAGCAAGGGAGAGGAAAGGAGGGGAATGACGGGAAATTAAAGAAAAGACAAAGGAAAAAAGGAAAACAAAGGAAAAAAGGAGATGAAAGAAAGGAAGGGAAACAACAGATAGAACAAAGGGAAAATAAATCAGATAACAGGAAATTAAAGGAAGGACAAAGGAAAGAAAGGAAAGAAAGGGAAAAGAAAGCAAATAGCAGGAATTTAAAGGAAGGACAAAGCAAAGGAAAAGAAAAGATAGGAAATTAAAGGACAAAAGGAAAAGGAAGGGAACAGAAAAGAAAGAAAGAGAAAAGGCAAACAAATGAGAGAAGAGAGGAAGGGGAGGAAAGGCATTTTGGCGTCACTAAGGGCAGAGGACAAGGTAAAAGAGGCCTCTGCTGCGTGAGGAAACATAAATAGAGTGGGTAAGAGGGTAAAAGGAGACAGACAGACAGAAATGAACGGAGAGAATGCAAAGACAAAGACAGAAAAAAAGAGAAACAACAGATAGACAAAGATAAAAAGAAGTATAGAGGCAGGAAGTGCATCCTGTGTTTGATGAGTGCTGTGAAAACTAAAAGGAACCCTCAGAACTCGTCAGGTTGTAAAATGTTTGCTTACTCACGCCACAGCGTCACAACACTTCATCAGCTGAAGCACTCCACCAATATTAAAGCTCCCGAGGTCCTTCTGGAGAGGAGAAGAGGAGAGAGACGGAGTGAGGGAGGAAGCAGGGTAAGCGCCAATATGTCACAATTAAGAACCCGTTAATGGGCCCCGAATAAAAGCACTCAAGTGCTGTCGTTTCAGGGCTTTCAGCATCCTGTTTGGCATTTAATCTTCTCCTAAAATGGGTGAAAAAGTGTGATTAGAATAAAATTTGAATGCATTATGGAATATTTGAAAGCTATTTTGTTCCTTTATGTCTCAATCTCGCTGCACAAAATCATCCGTATCCACCTTAAAACATGTTTAAAAAGCCTGGCACATGGCAAATTGTTCCGGTAATTTATTATTCATTCATTGATTCATCGTCTACCGTCTTAGGGTCAGAGGGGAACGAGATGGGGTTGAAGGCAACAAGACACGCCGGATATGCCACCAGTTCATGACGTCCACAGATAGAAACACTCATGTTCAACCCGATGGGAAATCAAGGTCTCAGATCCAGGGAGGAAACCCAGGAGAACATACAATCTCCACACTGAACAACACGCAGGAAACCAAACACACATCTTTCACGCTGGGATACTTTAAATGTTTTGGTGTTGGAGTCATTGGGGGAGGACTCACACAAACATATGTCCAGCCACCCACGCACACAGATGGCTGCAAGATATTCCCCAAAATATCACATTACACAGAGAAAGCAGTTTCTACATTATGATGGTTTTCCTCTGTTTATTTTTGGAGCCACATTATTTGCAGGCCAGGACTTCAACACAGCGCCGTGAAACATCGATTCAGTGACTGAAAAGAGACTTTTTTTCTTTCATGCTATGCAAATTGTCTCCCTCACTGTAACCGTCACTTTGTGTGTGTGCTGCACAATTCATGGCCGAGGTGATCCTCTGAATGATCCATTAACACACAGTGACAATTTGTATTTCTGTTAATGTCAAAATCATCAGTCTTTGTTTGTATGGATTACTGTGCAAAATAATTACATAAATGCTGAGACAATTAGTTGATTAATTGTTTGGAAAATTAATTGTCAGTGATTTGGATCTTGGATGAACACACTGTTATCTAGCAACGAAAAAACAAAAAACAAACAACCCCCCCCCAGTTTCCTGTAGTGGCATGAGCCTGCTTTTGTGGCTGTTTTACTATCCAAATCTTAACCAAAATAAAATTCAATTTAAACTATGGTTAAAATAATTGTTTTGTCAATGCAAAATTGCAAAAAATGAGGTATGTATGTAATTTAAAGCGAGTTTTCCAACACATTATATACAATGAAATATCAAATATTAATACATAATTCCCTATACTGACAGACAGGTTGCTGCAGGCTCGGTGCACCCAGGAGCATTTCCAGCTCCACATTGAACTGAATGGGATTTTCTGGTAGCTTTTGAAGGTGAGGCGCGTGGCTGTTCAGCTAGCTCCAGCCTGTTTGAAAAACTGGGTGGGGGTGTACCCACCCCCTCCCAGTGACGTCACCGCATCAGTAGTCCTTGTACCCGGGATCCATTCATGCCCGCCTCATCACAGTGCCGCGCGCCTCGACCTCTCCACACCTCACCTTTTACAACCAGAGCCGCTGCAGTCGGGACGGATTTCTCTCACTGTGCTGGACGGTGAAACACGGATAAAAAGGTCCACGCTGCGGGGAGCAAGTTGCGACAAGAGGTGAAAAACTTCATTATTATTCATTATGGATCCACGCGGATGTGACACTGGTTGCCTCGCGCTGTCTTTCTCTTTCGGGGCGACTTTAAAGCAAAACTTCATGGAGAAAAAGTGTCAAATGGTCCTTTCTGTTTTAAGAAAACGATGCTGCCAGAGCTAGTCTGGAGTCATGTTGTATGTTTGTAATTTCTCTTCAATTCGGCACAAATTAAATAAATGCAGCAGCTTGTTTTCACCAAATAAATTCGAACTTTAACTAGTTCCTGCTGTCAGTCGGCACGCTGTGTGCGGTACACGTTTCATAAACAGTAGACCTGACTGGATTAATAGACTGAAGTTGTGTTCTGTGCCTACAATCAAAGAAACCGTGTCATTTTTTAAAGCAATTAATCTTCTCACGTGTCTGATTTTACAGTATTATCCAGCGTATATCGCAAGTGACACAAAATCTGCGTTCAGACTCCACAGCAGAGCGCTCCGCGGACGCAACACCTGGACACATCTGTCAGAGCGCTGGTCCGCGCTTAGGGGCACGCACCTTTTCACAGTTGTCAGGGGCTTTTCTCGCGGATTCAGGGACCTCTGGAGCCCTTAACTTCAAACAGGCATCACGGGGTGGGCACGTCGAGCATTGGACAGGGCAAGTAGGTGAGTCAGTTACACACCCAGTGAAAGTGAAGTCATACAAGTGGAAGAGATGTGTAATATTGAGTCTGCCTTTATTTACTAAATAAAGAACACACTCACAGAGGGAATCTGAGCAGGAAGTTCGGCGTTAAAACTTGGATGGCAGTTTTGTGAACTTGTCAGCTGATGTGTGGTGAGACAGAAGGGGAATAAACTGGAGCAGAGTTCAAGCCCTGGCTTTTTAATGCAAACTGTGTATTTTCATGAGAGAAAAAAGCTGTTCTTCTCCTTTCTGTGTACGTGTTGGGTCACTAAAGTTAGACAAAGACTTGAAAACATGAAATTAAAGTGGCATGTATACTCAAAAGTGTTGACATTCAGTCAAAACAGTGTCTGACAGTAGGAAAGAAGGATGTTTACTATCCTTTACAAATGATTCAGGATCTCCTCAAGGCAGTGAGTGAGTACACAAATGTTTGGGCCAGTTAGTGTAGTGGTGAAAATGCTGGAACGTATTACTCCTTTACAGCCTTCCCTACAGTCAGACTCAAAGGTCTTTGGATGACTCTGGTTTGCAAATTGGCCTTAAATTTGGTTCAAGGCATTAAAATCTCCCAACAAATATTAAAATGATTGAGCTGCTCAAATGTTTCTCTTCTAAAACTCTGATAATCGCACTAATCGGCTGCAAGTAAAGAGTTTCATTTTGTTTTCTCAATTGTTTGAGGTGATTAAAATTCCAGAAAACAGTGAATCAATGGCTTTGTGACAGCTCAAGGTGATGTATTATTGTTTGATTTGACCAAAACCCAAAGTTTATTATCAAATATGATAAAGAAAAGCATAAAATTCTCACATTTGAGAAGCTGGAATCAGCAAATGTTGGACTTTTTTTTACCTGATATGTTTAAATATGTTATCAATACTAATCAATGACACTCTAAATCTCACACATATTCTTTCATCCTTTCTGTCTAACCAGGATGGCTGCAGACAACTTCTTGAGGACACATTTTTGACACTTTTTTTTCGGAAGCAGAGACATATTTTCTAATTAAAACCAGCCATTTTTCAGCCATGTCGGATCAAAAAGACGACAAGTGCCACACCATATTGCAAATCAACCCCGCCGAGAGCCCGTTGATCAGCGCCATCATGTTCGCCTTGGGCATCCTTGGCAACGTGGCTGCCCTGGTGATCCTGGAAATCCGGCGGCGTAGAGACACAAGGAACGGGGGCATGGGGCGGCGTTCGTTGTTTCAGGTCCTCATCACGTCGCTGGTGGTCACGGACCTGGCAGGCACGTGCTTTGTCAGTCCATTGGTGCAGCTGTCGTACTACACTAACACCACCTTGAAGGGGATGTCTGAAAATCACAGTGTGTGTAAGTACTTTGGCGTCAGCATGACCTTCTTCAGCCTGGCCACCATGTCGCTGCTCTTCACCATGGCCCTAGAGAGAGGCTTCGCCATCGGCTACCCCTACCTGTACAGCCGACACGTCACCAAGAAATGTGCCTACATCACAATCCCGCTGGTGTTTTTGTTATGTACGCTATTCTGTCTCCTCCCTTTTGTGGGATTTGGTATGTATGTACAATACTGCCCCGGCACATGGTGCTTCATTGACATGAACCCAGTTGGAAAGGAGGACCGGGCCTACGCCAACCTGTACGCCTCCGTCATGCTGGTGCTGGTGCTGGCGATCGTGGCGTGCAACGGCTTTGTGGTGTACCAGCTGTTCAAGATGTACCAACGGCGGAGGAGGAACGGCGGCTCAGTCACGGGGCCCGCAAGATCCAACAGCGAACGAAGGCATATGTCCATGGCTGAGGAGGTGGAGCATCTTATCCTGCTGGTCTTCATGACCATCATCTTCATCATCTGCACGATGCCCCTGGTGGTAAGATGACGGCACATAACACATGTTTTAGATGATACATGAAAAAATACACACACATTGTTGCCAGTTGACCTTTGACTTTGAGGTGAATTCACTCTGTAATACTGACTTAGTTGAGGTTAAGTTGATTATAAAGCTCCATCCACCCTCACCACCGCTACCCAAAATCTGTTAATCCTAAGCACAAAAGGCTGGTTCTGGATCAACTAACAAGTAAACAGCTCTTATTTCAACGTGTCAGATACATATTTGATCAACATTTAGGTCAATATAAGTATTGACAGATGGGGAAGACAATGTGATCGGGTCATGAACAATTAGTGCTTTCATTGAGCAACGAGGTGCTAAGGTAGGATGTTACTCACAAAGTCAGTAAGTCAGTAGTTGGGTGACACTATGCAGCCATTACGACCAGGAAAAAAACAGCATGTCAAAGTTAAAACGGCTCTGTGGTTATAAGCTACATGCCTGCCAACCACAGATATATCAAGATGTTCTCTCGCGCAGACACAATACGTGCGATCTGATGCGCATCTGTGGGTAACTCGGAACTTGTGGCATGTTGTGAGCATGCAGCTTTTTATAAATAACACAATAAACCGTTATGATAATAAGATGTAGAGAGGAAACACTTCATTTACAGCACGTCTGACTCATCAGATAAGAAGGTATAAATATGAGATGTATAGATATCATTTCAGTGGTCTGGCAGATGTACAGTGTCTTGTAAAAGTACTTTAATTGTCTTAGCGTCGGCTTATTCCGAAATGCATATATATTCTTTACTTTTTTCAGTTCTGTGCGTTTGAAGGAAAATATAAATCACTATTTTAAGGTGCCATTTCTCTGGGGTTTGATTAAGAATATGCTGATTGTTGTGTAGAATCACTACAATCATTGTAGTGGAGGCAGTTAAGGGAGCTATGTTAGCATCATTAGCAGGGAAGATGGCAGAAGTGTTTCAAAGGAAACTATTATTAGCTTTAAATTGTGCAAATTATGTTATTCCATACATTAACACACATGTCGACAATTTAGATTTTAGTTTGAGAGAATGTGCTCTGCATGGAACTAAAAGTCTCAATTACGGCTGCAGCTTTTGTCTATAAAAGTGTAACCCCTTTTATAATTTACCAGAGCCCAATTTCTTACTGCAAATAGCTTATTTTGTCTGACCAACAGTCCAGAACCCAAAAATATTTAATTAACTGTTTTAATGACAAAGACAAGCAACAAATCAAACACATTTGAGAAGCTGGATCCAGAACATTTTTAGTATTTTAGTTTAAACAATATCTGAAATGATTATTCAATAATCCAAATAGTTGCAGGTGAATTAATCAATAAATCTACTAATCATTTCTGCTCTAGTCTCAATATCTTTTGCAAGGCAGTGTTCAGATTATACCTTTTTATAATTATGGTGAAAGATAAGAGTTCACAGTCCAATGGAAAACCCAACATGCAAACAGATTTACATAGAGTAAACTGTGTCATAGACCTTTTTCACAGCAGCCATTTTGACATGAAATCGTACGGTAAATTTTCAGGTCAAACAGAGCCAGAGTGCTAATACTGTGCATGCTGGCTCGCTGGAAAGGCTCTGCACTAAATGGAACTGAGCCTTAATTGTGTCTTTAGGAAGTAATTTGGACAGATACCATAATGAGAAGATAAGAAGCTGTAATTGTACATTTGGTCGCAATTCTAGCAACAACAAAAGGTCTGTGATTGAATTGGGAGATGGACCTAATAATCATTTATCACGACGGACATAATGTTTTAATGGGATCGACCCCATCGCAGCAGAACAACATTGTGTCCTGTACATTAATGAATTACACACAAGGGATGTATAAAGCGATAACAAATGCTAGCAGCAGCCGGGACAAGCTACTTCGTCTTGGTTGCTGTTGGTTACCATGCACTGACCGCAAAATTAAAGATAAATATATAAGATAAATATATAAGACAAGATTCTGATTAGCTGGCACAAAACTTTAAAGATGTCATTTCAGTCAACTTTGACATATTTCAGATTACAGTATGGATGGATGAATCAGAGTACAAATTTAACCCAAATGGCTCATTATCCAAACTATTAGCCATAACGCCGTCTCAGTGGGGCCCCAGGGCAATCTGTTTGTAACCACCTCAGGTCTCAAAGTATCACTCCGGATTTCAAATGGAAAATCAATAACTTTCCCGGCAGTATATGATGCTGTGCACTTTATTGCAGTAGACAGTAATGGGCCAATGTGCCATATTGTGCGCTGCTGCAGTCTTCGTCTCTGCAACGACAATTCTGCCGCATAGTTAATTTAACAGCATCCACCACATCACAGTGACAGACCCCATGAAGACAGAAGCAATTGTATGAGCTCTGTGTTCACACTACGTCGAGTCTGCTTGAATAGCAGCCATTTAGATCCAAGTACATCGAGCGTACTTTGCTTTATATATTGCCTGTACTCGACTAAAGTTAAAGCTAAAGCTGCAAAATAAAAATAAAAAAACTGTATATGAAGGGGGCACGGTCTGTATCACAGAAGGGATTACATGAGGATTAAAATGGGTTCACAAAACCCCTGAAAGTCATTTAAATCTAAGTAGCATAATCAGATACTGTCTGTTGTATGTATATCAGGGTCAGTGGTACTTTACGATGTAATTAACTCAACATTAAAGCCACTACTGCCTTGGAAAACAGGCATATCCACAGGGCGTTTACAGTAAACTTGTCATAAAGTGATCATTTGAGAAGCATCACATTATTTGTGTCTATTTAAATGTGATGATTTATTAAACTGCCTTCCACTGTGTACTGTGTACCGGCGGTATATGACTGTAGGCAGGTAAAGGTCACTGGTATCAGCATCCGTCATTGGCCGTCTTCACTGCCTCATCAGGTTGGTGATGAAATAGATAACTCGAGTACAGTGAGGTTAGACAAGGAAAGACAGAAAGGAAGCAGCGGGTGAGGAGGAGGGGCGATTGAAAGAGAGAAAAACAAATTACACTCCAGCAGATACTCTCACCTCTCAAACTCAACCTCCGACGGAAGGCCTACAATATATCAGTATATATATCTTCAGTGTTTGTGTTGACTTGTGTTACATCCACTTCTGAGTGTCCACTTTACAAGTCCAATACAAACGTAATACCTTGACGTGTTCTCCCAAATATTTAATGTTGCCAAGGGGAGTGACAGCCAATGCTATGGAAAAATGCATGTCTCCTAGCAACACCAGCCTTCAAATGTCAGTCAACCGCTGCCATGGGAAACGCCCACTCAAGAGAGTTGAAGCATACACATTGCTTCAGATTGAGACATTTTATCCCCTTTTAAAATTTAAATTAAAATATACACATAACATCTGCAGTTTTACTATAGTTTGTAGAGAATTCACAGCTCAGTTTGACTTTAAAAAGTAATAATCAATATCACTGTGCATTTTCTGGATTATTAACCAAGAGTTACACTTACATGCTGATATATATTTTTATAACATCCATTTGAGTCCATGTCAAGTAGAAATTGGGTTCTTCTTCTTTAGTTTTATTATTTGAAACTTTGTCAGCATAGAAAAGGTTCGTTCCACCCACAGATTACAGTCAGTGCATTAGCCGTTTTGTTCATTAGGCTGTCTATCTGCATCATCATGTCTGTTGTGTCCAGCTATTAGCCTGTCGTACCTTTATCAGATATCCAGTGACAGCCACCAGACCTTTCACCACTGCAGGCAGAGGTCATCATAACATTGATGTCAGCCGTATATGATGAATTCTTCTTGTAATGGGAGTTCTGTGTCATACATACTAGTGAATCACTTACCTGTGGCTGTCGCATTCGTCTCTCCTCTCCTCATATTTCTGCAGAATGGCCACATTAACTTATTGGTAGACATTCCCATTTGTTGCCCTGCAGGAAGATGAAGAAAACCTTTTACCCTATTTCATTCAAAGCGCGCACTTAGTGATTGTGCCGAGGGGAGGGTTGGTCTCTCATTTTGAAGACACAGCCATCCTTGCATTCAATTTCCTTTCCCATTCCTTTCTTTAACATCTAAATGAAGATAAAAATGTCGTATCCACTGATGGCATTTGCAGTGTTTAGCTGGTGGTCCGTCCATAATGAGTTCTGGTGCCTGAGCAGAGCATTATATAGGACCTCAGTGGCCTCTAAGAAGATATTTTTATAGAAGAGATGTCTGTAATTTGAGACATTTGCTGCGTTGTGGATGTGGATAAAGCTGTGAGCTGTTGCATAGACAAAAGGGAGGTGCTGCTGTATAGACTCTGATGGCTACAGAAAGTGTGGTAAGCTGATGAATGAGATGTTTTTGAGATGGCATTACTGGAGTTACCATGAGTAAATAAACCATTGAACCATGAACACACGCTAATGTGTGTTTGCAAAAAGGGTTTTCCTTGAGGCAGCAGTAGATACTTGTTGTGCAAAGATTCTTTCCAAAATCAAAAACACACATTATAATCAATTAATTAAGCTTCTTCTTACGTAAGCAGCAAGCGAGCATGATTGGCTAGCTAGCTCACTGCCAACAATAATAACCTAGCATAATTAGCTAACCACATTAGCAGGTCTGTCCTTTTTTGTATTGGAATAAAGTTTATGATACAGCAACCCTACCGAAGCTCGTTACCTGACTTAGTGTTACTACAGTCAAATGTATTGCTTAGTTATAAACTTTAAATATGTTTAAAAAACTTTTAGAACTTTACATTATATATTATAAACTTCATACATGCAGTGGCAGAATGGGAAGTTAGACAAGCGTAGCAACAGTAACTCTGTATTAGAGATTTGAAAGATGTTTTATATCCGCTTTGTGGTTGCACGCTTTACCAAAACTACACATTCAAAGGCTAAACAATAATACAAATGCATAATTCATCTTGCGCCGTATATAAACACTGGTGGGTGTCCAGCCAGTAATGTGATACCACAGTCTGAGGTCAGGCTATCACACACAGGCACACACGGATCATATTGCATTTTTCTGTGGGATGAAACTGTGTGCTGATGATGTGTTTGTGTGTGTGTGCCCTGTGCCTCCGGTTTTCTGTGATTGCATTAAAAATTGAAAAGGCCAGACAACAGACACAGGAAGAGAGACATTGATGGAGAGGTAGACATAGAGTAGTAAAGACTGAAAACATGAATTAATTAAATAATAGAGCAATGGGATTTGAATGGTGCTGTTGTTCCAAATACATACATTTTGGGGATATTTTTTCACTTAAGTCGATAAATTGTTCAAGTTGAACCTCACCAGGTGAAGACACGTGAGAAAAGACAAGCATGCATCTTTGAAATGAGATATTTTGAATAGTTTCTCACATTGACGATCAAATAAAGAAGATTAGCACACAGATGGTCAACGCAACAACAAACATTTGTTGATCAGACGATGGCGTTTTGTTCTCTGAGCATCAACCCCTTGCAGACACTTCACATTAACACTTTTATTGCGCAGCCCGTTGGTGCTGAGAGAGAAGAAGAAAATTGGCTCACAGTGTGAGTAGGATTTCACGGCTGTGCCTGGACGTAAAAAAAAAAATCTGCCTCGACACGCACACACAAGCCCTCGCCTACTCTGTTTTTGTCTCAGACACATGGCAAGGCCTGTCACTAATCACAGTAATGACCACATGTGGTTTAGTTTAAAATGATATTGGAATAAGCATGAAGTCCTTCAGTTAAAAAAAAAAACACCTCCTTCATCACTCATTCCAAAGTTGTTTGAGCTTTTACATCTTTTTTATTTTTGAACTGCACGCAGATTTTGTTGTTCTAGTGATATAAGCTTCCCTGAATGAGTTATGTAACAATTACCATTCCCCTGCTTGAAAAAAACGAGTATTTAAGAGCTTTCTCACCCGTCAACATGAACAGATGCTGATGTTCCCTCAAGCAAGACTCTTAACTGCCATTTGCAGCTGTGGAGTTGGTTGGGAAGATCTACTCAAAGAAATAACCAGCTAGTCTTCATGGCAGCTATCCAGCTACTGGGTTGTGTGACTGAGCAACAGGAAATTGGCCTAACGAGACTGCCATGACAATGTTGCAACTTGCCACAACCATAGTCATCTTAGGAAATCTGGTGCTTTTAGGGTCAAACCTGAGTCACTTTATCGAAAAAGAAAAACTTTATAATAGAAGAGAGAGGAAAGAGTATTTGGAGCGAGACGGTGATAAAACAGTAAGAGAAGAAGGGGTGGGGGTGGGATGAAGGTAGAAAGTAAAAAAGAATGAACAATATCACAGGACGCAGTGAAAGAGAGACCGTGTTGTCTCGAAAGACTGACTTTACAGCCTATTGTGAGGTCCCTTTCCACATCACATTTAACTGGATATTGTTCCTTTTTGACCCTCAGAGAGAGAAGTAGCAGGAATTTCTAACCCTGTGAACTCGTCATAGCTTCCATGGATTGTATTAAAATGCTGGTTCCCAACCTTGTGGCCATAAGCCCAGGGAGTTTACTGCTTTACTTTGCCACACTTTAACCACAAACGAGGAACTAATAAGCGAAATCAGCTGCTTATTCTTGGCCTCAATGGTGCTAATAAAAACAGTGTTCATTTGAAAAGGTCAAAGACCTTTTCCTAATACCTAATACAGCAGTTATTGATCAGAGATTCAGAAAACTACCAGTCATAGGAATATGCGTAAAGGGAGGTGGTGATTTATTGCCAAGATTTAAAACGTTACCCTATTTGGTCAAAACTGAGATAAGGCGGGGTGCCCCATGCAGGCCTGGAGTCTTCATCGCAGCAGCCCAGGTTCGATTCCAACGTGCGGCCCTTTCCCCTCTCCACCCACTGTCCAGTCAGATAAAGGCATAAAATTCTTTCATTATCTGTGTATCTTTGTATGTAAATCAATTAGCTGGATCTCAGCATGGGAATCTCCATTTGGCTTGGCCATTATATTTCAACATCTGTCTCTCAGCCTCTCCTAAAACCACAAAATACACACATGTTCACATTCTCAGTGATTTTATAGGCTGCTTGTGTTTGCCTCCACAATCATTCTGAAAAGCAAACAAAATTACAGAGTCAATTCCAATATCCTCTTTGAATTAGAACATTACTCTGTTCTCTGCAAACATCCTGTGTGTGCTGGGATTGGTGATGGTGCTTCTGCATGGAAGAGGATGAAAATAGGGAGTGTGCTTTTTTGGTCAGCATCCCGAAGTGTCTCTAGTTAATGTGAGAAAACACACATTTAGACTAATAACTGAAGTACACACTGATGTGATGTCTGTCTTTCTGGTTTGGAGATGCTGTAATTGGCATGTTCCCTTGGAGACAATTTTTGCCATTTTGCCCGCCATTTTTACCCGCTATTCAGCACATTGATGGTAATCTAGGGTGCAGAGAGAAAACATTGCTATCTGACAAAAAGAGCAGCTTTTCAGTAGGCAATAATACAATAGCAATATGCATTGGTTAAATAAAATCAATTAGACTTAAAGCGTAAAAATATGCTGCTTCAGGATACATGTATGTGCATATAGCCTGAGTAAAACTTCAGCACCACCTGTGTAAACAGCTGCACTGCTTTAAATTAGAGCGAATCTGTCTTGTCAGACGGACGCAAGACGGACAACAAAAAAATGCAGCTGAAACAGCTCCTGTGTCTAAAGACTTGCTTTAATTAAGTGCCGACGATGAAATGCAGACCAAATAAAGTCACGCTTTCTGTTAAGTTTTGTTTTTATGCTCGCCCCCTCTCTCTCTGGTGTGCTCTCTTTTCTTTCTTCCTCCCTCTCTGTACATTTTTAACTCAACATCCCGGCTTATTTGTGTGTTTGGGGGACAAACAGAGAGAGGTATCATGGCTAAACTAAAACTTAAATATTGTGTGATCTAAAAAACAGACCCAGTGTCTATCTTTATATTCCAATGTGTGTACTCATTCAGAGTTGACAACAGTTTTCTGTATGGGGTGGCTTACTAAATTGCTGAACTGGCAGGATCAGAAACAAAAGGTCATTGGTTTCTGAAACGTCCCTCTTCCTCTTTCATGTATTTGGATGACAGCCCGTCCTCAACAATGGAATTACATACAGTACGTTGTCATAACAAAACATCGGTCAGCAAACCAATAATTTAAAAGGTCCCATATTGTAGAAACTGAGCCTTTAAACTAGCAGTCAGGACTCTGGTAATGTTGGTAAAGTGGTCGTCTCTGCCTCAACTCTCTGGGATCTAATGCTACAGTCTTTCCTAATGGACAGATATCCTTACTTGTCCTTAAAGTAGCTGCAAAAAACTGCTTACTGCAGTGTTAGCTGCCGTTAGCTCGTTAGCTATCGAGCTAAAAATTTGCAGGAAGTTAAACATATACGATGAGTATCAGCTTGGCATTTTAACAGATACATGGCTTTAATTTCTATTGTCATTCCCCATGAGAGGCTGTCCCAGTACTCTCATTAACTGGTCCAGGTTGATCTGTTAGTATTGGATTTAAACCAGGATGTTATCTAGGATGTGGCACGGCTGTCTGCGTGTCGGTCATGGATGGAAGTGATGGAGTGATTATACCTTGCCAGCTAATTCAACACACAATCTCTTTTTTATCTCTCCCTGCCTCTTCTCCATCTCTCAGATCCGGGTCTACATCAACTCTATATGGAATGAAACGGAGTCTCACCATCTGGACCTAATTGCCCTCCGCTTTATCTCTGTTAACTCCATCATCGACCCCTGGGTCTTCATCCTCCTCTCCCCCAGCGTGTTGCACTTTTGCTGGGGCTCTGTCTGCCGGGCCTCTCTGGAAATCTCCAGGGGTTCAATTTTTAAGACATCGCTGGCCAAAGAGAATCCTCCGGCTAACCTCGAACTGTCTCGCCCAACGCTGGAGTACATCGAGCATTTTCATTCCGTGGAAACTCTATGACCAAAACAGTATTTTGTTCTTTGATGTTTATATTTGTTGGACACAGGATTGGATCACGGTTAGTGATCACAAGAGTGGAGAGCTTTTGTGTGCCGTGGGTGGAGTTTCTTATCTATTTCATGGGTGTTTCCAGTAGATAATGGCCCTTTCTGTTTCACTGATAAACACACCAGTTTTATCAGCTGATGGCCACCACTCACCATTCGCAGGAAGTTTCCCTCCACTTCATCCATGCCAAATGCATAATGACTTTTGAGCTTTATATTTTAAATGTAAAAACTCAACATTTTGCCTCCTCCGCTGCTTATATTTTATGCCAATTAATCGATTAAATAAAAAAAGGCTGCTGATGGGAGCTGGCAAAAGAAAGAAAGACTTCATGCAGGTTCTGTGATGGTCTGGAACAAAGGACATGAGACATACTGAAGACATTCATCTATCAAAGTGTCTAAAATGGGATTAGCTTTCGATTCATAAACAGTGAAGGAAGAGGTAACTAACGTTTGCTGTACAGCCTTCTCTGATTCAAATTCTGCTTTCCAAACAGTTGCTTCTTGGCCTGGAAACGGTGAGATGTCACATACATGCATGTATTACATGGCATATACATGTAATTGTTTAGAGCACAGCCGAAGAAAATCCTACATGGTGCCCATATCACTCATGAACTGAATGGTGCGCCTACTAAAAGTACGCACATTCAGATTCAAATGGGTAGATGTAAGAAGGTAGTTTGGTGGGGTACATACATGTTGAAGGTCTCAGACTGCCAGAGGAAGCGTTGCCACATGAAAGCAGTAAAGTGATGCATTTTAGAATGAGGTCACTGTAACATACCTAGATATAATCTAGACAGCAGACATGTTTCTACAAGTGTAAGTGAGGCCTCAAGTATTTGATATTTGCAGCTTTTGAACACAATTATAGGCCATTATATTGAGAATAGTATCTTATCACCTCTGAGCTTCCTAACCCCTGAACTTAACCTCTGGTCCGCTTTGGTAACCTTTCACCCTCACACTCCTACCAGATTCCTGCTGGAAAGGTCAAAGGGCGACAGGCCTGGAGAGACTTTCTGGTGGACGAGCTAGTCAAAACTTCACTTAGGGAGTGGCATGATAAACACAAACCAAAGGTTATGTTGATTGTAGTGACAATATTCCATTTATACTTATATACTTATACTGACACAGTATTCTGCATATAATATTATATAATAATGTTTTATAAAACGTTCTTTATATGAGACTGCAGTTACTTTTTGACTTGAAAATTTGCGCTTCTTATATAAATAACAGCAGAGAGCAAATATTCTTGCAGAATCTGGTTTATGAAATACTAAATGAATGATAGCATACGATTGTTACATGGACGATCAAACAAAAATAGTGATCCACGCAAAAAACATTGTCAGAAGGTCCACAGGGTACCTTTAACTGTTTGGTTGTATTGGAATCATTAGAAGAAATTTTGGGGAAAATGCTGTTAAAAATAAAAGTCTTAATTATTTAATAGAATAATAATCTATTTTTCAAAAATGTAATATTATTTATACAATAAACAATCTAAAATGTATCATAGTCTGCAGTCATTTTGGGACAGAACTATTGCCCTTGCATTGCCTGAACGTTATTTGGAAACTATGAAAGCCCTTCATTTTACGACTAAAGTGCCATTTGTACTGTATTAGTTTTACTTGGGAACATCTTTAAAATGTTATTCTTATTCAACGTGTGTCTTTCCAGAGGACCACCATTCATAAGGGACAGAGGACATCCACTTAATTACTCATAGACCAGGTGGAAAACGTCATGATTACAGTCTCTAATGAGATCCTCATGCTGAAAGTTCAGCTGCCAACTAAAGCAAACCCTGAAGATGCAGGTTTGCTTTCAGCTCCACCAATAAAAAAGTCTCCCTCTGCAATAGACTCCATTAGTCAGTCTGCAGTTAGCCTATACAGTTCATGTGTTATGAGATCTGCCACCCAACAATGTCAGTTCTAACTTGCGTGCCGATGAAGTCCGATGACCTTTTCAGATTCCTGGAAAAACCAGGGCAGTTTTTCCCACTTAGTTTTTTTTTAATTTGCATACTGGTAAAAGTTACACATAGTTGGATTCATACTGGGTTACATTATACGACACCGTGGGGAATTGCAACTATTACAGCTTCCCTTCCTTTAAAATGAATCACATTAACTAACACAGGTTTCCCGTTCCTGGCAAGAAAATAAGCTATCACAGAATTTTGTGGGGTCTCCGGGTAATAATGCTCTCGAAATAGGAAAACACTGTGTAGTCACTCGGGTTATCCAACAGTAGGAGAGAAGATTTCGGCCCTTGAGTGTGTAAAATGTGTGTAAACAAAACTACAAGTTCTCAACTATGTGTCATTTTAAGAGGATACCAGAAAATGTAAACTTTTGGGCTGTAAGCCTGTGTGTGTGTGTGTGACAGAGCACTGACGTTGTTTATCTATTGTGTTGTGAGAACTACAGTTTATTGCCTCTGCTGGTCTGTTGTTGGTTCTGAGCTTGGCATCAAGTTTACAACACTGACTTACTGCTTCCTGTGGATGTTGTGTGAGTTTTACTTTTCTGTATGTGTGTGTGTGTGTGTGTTTGTGTGTGTGTGTATGTGCCAGTGTCTTTCTCTGTTGCGTTTTTGTGAGAGTGCGTATGTATTATTGCATATTGCAAATATGCAAGGCTTACATGGTTGTGTCCATGTGCCTACAATTGGTTCAAGCTTGTGTGTGATGTGCATGCTAGTGTGTGTGTGTGTGTGTCTGTCTGTGCGTATGTGTATGTGTGTGTGAAAGAGTGACAGCACTGAAATGTAATGATGTCGAACAAGAATGTTACCTACCTGGATGTCTTGTACTCTGTAATTATAAAGTACTGTAGATGAAACTCAATGCACTGAGCACACAAGTGTGTATGTGTGTGTTTTATGTCTTGTGTAAATAAACATCTCATCCACTACATATACTGTCCGACCTGCTTTCTAACCCTTTTCCTCCACAAATGCACACACACACACACACACACACACACACAGTTTGTGGATGGGTTTCAGATGTGGAGAATATAGTTGAATCTTTCAATTAGACGTGTGTGTGTGTGTTTCAGTTGCTATATGTTTGACTTGAGGAATTTCCCCTACACATCACTCGGACACATGCTTCTTGTTTGTGTTGTGTTTGCGTCGCGCAATGTTTCTGTGGTTTAACCCAAGCAGGCCAGTGTGTTTGGTGCCAGCAATAACTACATGAACCCATGTGGGCTTTTGACAGTAAATCAACAGGAAGTCAAGAAGTGTCTCATGATTTTAATGAGCCAGCTCACTTGTTTTGTTTTTGTTGTTCTGTAACTCCCTCACTTCACCCTTCCCTTCCAAGTGTGAAGGAGAAACTATGCCATGTTTCTACCGCAGCCCAGAACGGACAAATCCAACACTGGCTCTACATGGGGTCGTGATTATACACCAAGTAAAAAACACACCTATGATATATTATACTGCATTTCTGCCAATAGATCCCATTAAATGTTAGCTTTAATATAGATATTGATATAAGAAACAATAGGTGAATGATTGACAATGATGGACTTCACTATTAAGTCAACTGTTTTGCAAACTGCCATTGGTTAAGCAGACAAATACATCTGAATTTCTGCAGTACTGAAGCAACTTGCCACAGACGTCGCACGACTTCTTCTGAGTCATAACTCACCAAATCAGAGCCCACAGACATGACGTCCTCTTACGATCAGCAGCGTGATTCAGACAGGTGATTGCTCTCTGTACAATAAGAACAGGAACTGATATCAGACGGACTAACTAAAAAACAGGCTGCAGGGTGTGTGTTTAACCTGCAGCCTGTTTTTAAGAGGTAGTTCAATATGCAGACATTTAAAGTTCAATATGCAGACATCCAGCGAGATTCATTCTCGTAACCTCATCAGATTTGTGCCCAGTGTTGCACAGGTGTTATTGTTATCTGATGATCTGATTTTGAAGCCCTGTACCTTGCTCGGCATTACAGTGGATGGGAAACACGTGGGCTAAACTTAGGGATTGTCTCAGAAGTGCATTTAAAAAATGGCTTTTCAGCTTTTCACATCTCAGACCAACTTTATTTTTATCTGCACCTCCACCCATTTCATGCACAGCTTCCTTTTAAAAGGAAAATTACACAATAATGCAATTCTGACTGTTTTTTTCTGTTGTTAACATTTCCACTATTAACTTCTGCTAGTTACACAGCTTTATATTGACATTTATTTTGGTTTGTTTTTTAAGCTGAGGTTCAAATATTCTATTATTCAATTAAATATTATTTAGTATATTTTATGAGCCACTAATCTCCTAACTCAGTGTAACACTAAAATGAAAAAACCTATTTTGAAGTCCCTACACCCTTCTGGTATAAATCTAAATACATAGCCTGTATTTTTTGGGATATTAATTAACAGAAGTAGCAGTTTTGCTTTACACCCCTACATGAGTCTTACTTTGTCTGGGTGGGATGATTATTTGAAAGAGGTCTTGTGTTTTGTTTTCACAATCAAGTCATCTTATCCTGTGGGCTGAGAGGTGACCACACCAACCACCAGAAAATCTTTTCACCATCTAATTTCATGACATGTTCTCACTCTGTTCCTTCCTCTCCTCTTCTTGTAACATTTCCCTTCTCTCCTCTCCTCCCACCATTAGCCAGTGAATGTGAGGTAATCTAATGGATCAAGAGTTATGATTCAGGATTGGAGACGTTAAATGCCACAACCCATTTATATGACCATCTCTCTTTCAGTCCATTCAGCAAATGAATCTATCTCGCTCGCCCCTTCTTTCTTTTCATCTGTCTCTCCAAACTAAGAGCCCCTTGGCATCAGGCACTGGTGTGAACAGTCTATCAGTGAGAGTGTGTGTTAGTGCATGAAACTGCGAGTGTCTGCATGTGCATATTTATTAGTTATTAGAGATGGACCACCCAGTGCCTGATCATTGTACTGCAGTATGAACTAACGTATTAAAACTGTTATTAGCACGTGAATGTATGTGATATTAAACTCTCTAGAAAAGCATCTGTCTTCTAGTTTGATGAAAAAACATAAGCAACGATTACCACAGTGAAGATTAGTATTTACTTCAGCCCACACACTCTTTCCCTGTAAAAGTCATCCTGTCTCTCCTCCCACTGATTGATAGGGACAAGCTGTGAGGGTTGTTGCATAGAAAGCTGCACTATTATTTCCTGTGCAAATCAATTGTGTCAGTGTTTGTCCTGCTAGGAAAGGCCAAAGTGTCTGCAGTAAAAAAAGTCTACAGACCAAATAACTATACTGAGTGTAGAGCAGTCATTCGTAGTGATTACAGTTAGTGACCAGCTGGTGACCACAGTGGATCATTTAGCAGCTGAAGAGACACATATTTACTCAGAAGTTGGTGAAGTCCAACAACAGAGCAAAAATGGGAGAGAATATTGGACTTAAATTCGCCATAATGGACATAAACATGACTCTATGTCTGACCACTGTGTAAATAAACAACTTTAACAGGCGATAATTAGGGATGCACCAATACCAGTATTGGGTCTGATAATTGTTATCAAAAAACTACTCCGATACCACTTTATGGCACTTTGATGTTACGTAACCTCTCGTTAGTTGAGCAGGTAGGTAGAGGAGAAGCAATGTCAGCAGATTAAACATATGTTAATCAACTTTTAGCAACATGTAATTTGTCGCTGTCAGAAAGTGAGGTACACAAATGCTTTGAAGAGTTTTGTGTGCTGATACATTTACTTATTTACAGTACCACTACAGCTGAACATTGGAGGTAAAGTATACCAATTCACATTAACACAAAGTAATCATTATATGCTCCATATATTAATTAACATTAATGGTCTATATATTTTCTAAGAGAAGCAAATCATAGGAAAAGTTAGGAAGTAGAAAAGATCCCACAATTCAACTGTAATATGTCTTCAAGAAAGTTATGAATTAACAAATACAACCTACATTTTTACAATGAGCCATGAGATATGACTTCACAGACATGTTCTGACTGCTGGTCTCACACTGAACAGCGATACTAGCTGATCAGACTCTGGGTAATAATATCCAGTGACCTCCTTATTAAGCTCACACCATCTACAAACTGTGGCCATTGTGGGATAACAGGTGCAAAGTATTGAAAGTCAGACTCAAAAGAAAAAGCACAAGTCATTTAGACAAAAATTTCCCCCTATAATTACCCGTAATTCTGTATCATGCTTGCTTTGTGTCAATTAATGTCCCGCCAATAAACAATTACATCAAACTGACCAACCAGACATCTGGAACACATCAGCCTTAAGTGAATTTATGCAATATAATTGATTAGTTGATTAATTAACCCTGTCTATTTAATTGGATAATCTCTTGTCTTCTTGTGTTTTGATTAGGTCAGAGGAAGGAAGAAGCTGACGTGTGTGTTGAGTTTGTATTTGAGAGTGTGCAGATTACTTTGCTGATTCCAGCACCACATTATTGGCTAACCCTGATGATTTATGAAATATTAAAATGGATGTTTACGACCCCTTTGACCCCTGGGCCAAAATATTCAGAGAGTAACGTCAAAATATTATGAGAAAAAAGTCAAGAATAACGTTAGATTCTGGTCCCACTTGTCATACACTATTACTCTAAGGAGTAAAACTAAAATGTATCAAGGTACAAAACCATTCAAAGCTTAAACGAAGAATATAATTTGTAATTTTACAGTGAAGTGGGAGCATTGCAGTGAAAAGAAGACCAGGAGAAATGTGATGACCCCCTTTTGAACACTGTGTAGCAGCATCATTATTAACCAGCTGCAGGCAAGCTGAATAGGAGCAATTAACACAGGAAATTACAACAATCCAGATGAGACTTTTTCCACATCTGAGAATATGAGAAATGGCTTGATTGTGGCTATGACTTTCAGCAGAAGGGAGCTGGCTTGCACAGCAGAGCATTTGTTGAATGTGAAAATCAAAATCATAACGCTGTGTTTTTAATGTTTTAAGGATTTGTTTTGGAGCTCCAGCCAGATGATCAAGCCAAATTATCTTATATTAGTCTTTTGCATTTGATTTCTTGCCACCCTGCATTTAAGGATCAAAGGACAATGCTAAAATCTTTAAAGAACCACTGTCATTATATTTTAACATGATATAAAGCATGGTGTCATCAGCATTGCAGCGTATGTTTATGTGCTTTCTTCTGATCTTTTCAAGTAAATGAACTGAATACGTTGCGGTCAGAGCAAGTGAAATGTAAGCCAACGTGCAATTAGTCATAAAACATTAAAGCCTAATCTTTTTCTGCATTAGTCAAACTGAAATGTGTTGGTTAACTGCTCACACACACACAAACAAGTTGTTGATGAATATTTTCCAGTAACATACGCCCTCTTCAATCCTCTCTAGTTCTGAGAAAGACCTGCTATCTGAATCTGCTATCATCAAATAAATCAAATACGGCAAATTAATATAAATGTTGTACCATAGTTTCTTGTATAAGCTTGTAACTTTAGGTCAACCAGGACTGAGCATCTATGACAAAATAGTTGTGCTTATCTTCTCTCTGCAGCCATCAGCTGATGATCTGGAGGTTAACAGCATATCAAAGGTTAGAAAAGCAACTTTTGAGCAAGGTCACCAGATCATGATGCACACAGGAAAGTACAGCCTTTGAGGAAGTGAGCATGTAAGCACAGTGGTTAACTGAGTTTACTGTGGGGGAAGAATCCCAGTTTTAAGCTTGTGATCCTGTAAGCTGCTTCTGTAAATAAGGGTAAGACTTGTTAATTTTGTCAGTTAAGGTTAGGTGCAAATATAGATTTCTATTTATAGAAATCCCATTATTATTAATAACCCATTACTGTGATTGAGAAGCAAAGAACTGTGTTAATGAGTAATTGCTGAGTGCTAATATTAAGCTATAATTTTTGACATTTTGGGAAAAAAAAGGTT